ATATTAGCCATAAAAAGAAACAAAATTGAGTTATTTGTAGTGAGGTGGATGGACCTAGAGTCTGTCATACAGAGTGAAGTAAGTCAGAAAGAGAAAAACAGATACTGTATGCTAACACATATATATGGAATCTGAAAAAAAAAAAAGAAATCATGAAGAACCTAGGGGCAGGACAGGAATAAAGATGCAGACCTACTAGAGAATGGACTTGAGGACACCGGGAGGGGGGAAGGGTAAGCTGGGAGAAAGAGAGTGGCATGTACATATATACACTACCAAATGTAAAACAGATAGCTAGTGAGAAGCAGCCGCATAGCACAGGGAGATCAGCTCAGTGCTTTGTGTCCACCTAGAGGGGTGGGATAGGGAGGGTGGGGGGGAGGGAGACGCAAGAGGGAAGAGATATGGGGATATATGTATATGTATAGCTGATTCACTTTGTTATAAAGCAGAAACTAATACACCATTGTAAAGCAATTATACTCCAATAAAGATGTTAATAAATAAATAAATAAATGTCCATACTACCCAAAGCAATCTACAGATTTAATGCAATTCTTGTCAAAACACCCATGACATTTTTCACAGAACTAGAACAAATAATTCTAAAATTTGTAGGGAACCCAAAAGACCCTGAATAACCAAAGCCATCTTGAGAAAAAAGAACAAACCCAGAGATATCAGTCTCCCTGACTCTAGGCTACAAAGCTACAGTATGAAACAGTATGGTCCGGGCACATAAACAGACATACTGACAAATGGAACAAAATAGAGAGCCCAGAAATAAACCCGCACGGTTATGGTCAATTAATCTATGACAAATGTGGCAAGAATATACAATGGAGAAAAGATGGTTTATTCAAGAAGTGGTGCTGGGAAAACTGGACAGCCACATATAAAAGAATAAAAGTAGATCATTTTCTCACACCATGAAAACAAATAAACTGGAAATTATTAAAGACCTAAATGTAAGACCTGAAACCATAAAACACCTAGAAGGAAATATAGGGAGAACACTCTTTGACATAGGTCTTAGAGATATTTTTTTGGATCTGTTTCTTCAGGTAAGCGAAATGAAAGCAAAAATAAACTAATGGGACAGAATCAAACTTAAAAACTTTTGCACAGCATAGGAAACCATCAACAAAATGAAAAGGCAAGTGTCCATGGACAGATGAATGGGTAAAGAAGGTGTGGTATATATATACAATAGAATACTACTCAGCCATAAAAAGAATGAAATATTGCCATTGCAGCAACATGGATGGACCCAGAGATTAACATACTAAGTGAAGTAAGTCAGACAGAGAAAGACAAATACCATATGATATCACTTATATGTGGAACCTAAAAAAATGATACAAATGAACTTATTTGCAAAACAGAAACAGACTCACAGACATAGAAAACAAACCAACAGTTGCTAAAGGGGAAAGAGGGAGAGGAGGGATAAATTAGCACTTTGGGATTAACATATACACACTACTATATATAAAATAGGTAATCAACAAGGACCTACTGTATAGCACAGGGAACTCTACTCAATATCTTGTAATAACCTATAATTTAAAAGAATGTGAAAAAGAATCTGAATCACGTTGCTGTACACCAGAAACTAACAGAACATTGTAAATCAACTATACTTCAATTTAAAAAATTAGATAACACATTAAAAGGATCAAAAAACATGATCAAGTGAAATTTATCCCTGGGATGCAAGAATGGCTCAACATACACAAATCAATCAATGTTATATACCACATTAATAGAATGAAAGATAAAAATCATATGATCCTCTCAATGGATGCAGAAAAAAACATTTGACAATCCTGTCATGATTTAAAAAAAAAAATCAACAAATTGGGTATAAAAGGATATACTAAAGATATCTGCATTCCTATGTTTATTGTAGCATTATTCACAAAAGCCAAGATATGGAAATAACCTTAGTAGTGTCTGATGAATGAATAAGGAAATGTTATATATATATATATATATATATACAAAATACTATATATATTTTTACATTATATATATGTGTATATATTATATAAATACAAAATGCCATCTCTATATATGTATATACAAAATACCATAGACTGTGTGACTTATAAAAACAGAAATTAATTGCTTACAGTTCTGGAGGCTGGGAAATCCAAGATCAAGGTGCCAAAACATCTGTGTTTAGTAAGGGCCCACTTCCTGGTTCATAGACAGTGCCTTTTTGCTGTGCCCTCACATGGTAGAAGGGAGCAAGGGAGTTTTCTTGGAGTCCTTTTGTAAAAGAGATTGAATCCCATTAATGAGGGCAAAGCCTAATCACTTCCTCAAAGCCCCATCTCCTAATACCTTCACAGTGGAGGTTAGGATTCAAGATAAGAAATTTGGAAGGACACAAACATTCATACCATAGCAGTGACCGTGAGGAGAAATGGATGAGAAGGATGGGTTGGGGGGCAGGGGGTGGAGGGAGAGAGAGAGGGAGATTAAATATGAGAATGAATAATGTGTATATGGGTTATGGGTTAGGGGACTGGATGGCTGACCAAGAAGCTTATCAAATGTGGGGATGTTTTACTCCTTTCCAAAAGCATCTGATTCATGTCTTACACCATGGATGATTGCATGTTGTTTTCCATTTTCTAAGTGCCGACTTCTTTATAGGTTAAATTTTTGTGGGTGCAAGCAGCCGACATTGACTCTGGTTGTATAGTCTCTTCAGGACACCTCCCTCAGGATGCAGTAGCTCCAGGATGCAGTAGCTCCAGTCACCTCCCATCCTCCGATCAGAGCACTCACGATTCATATTCCTGGAAGGTAATTTGATTGGTTCAGCTTGGGCCTCGTGCTAAACAAAGATGGAGGACTTTGGCAGACCCATTGCAGCTACAGACACAGGAATTCACAAAGGCAAATCAGGGTGTTTTTACCACAGCAGACAGGACACTAAGGGGTGATAGGACTCAATCGGATCCCCCAAAATGGTATAAAGAGTCCCTTAAACTGAGGACATTGAAGATACAGCAGATGCAGAAAAAAAGCCTTTTCAGAGTGTCCCTTATCTGACTAAAGGCCGAGCTTTCTTTTTTTTTTAAAGACAATAGCTATTCTTATAATATATATTTTTTAAATATTTATTTATTTTGGCTGTGCCAGGTCTTAGTTGAGGCATGTGGACTCCTTAGTTGAAAAAAGTGGGATCTAGTTCCCTGACCAGGGATCGAACCCGGGCCCTCTGCACTGGGAGCAAGGAGTCTTACCCACTGGACTACTAGGGAAGTACCTAAAGGCAGAGCTTTCTAAGAGTGAAGCTGCCGTAAATCCCCTCTCAGGGGAGATTCCAGCTAGGAAGGAGACCAACAAACCACTGGCACCAGGATGAGAAATTGTACAAACAAACATTATCACAAACTGTTATACTTTCCATTGTTCTCATAAAACCCCATTTGCCTTTCCTAAAAGTCCACTTGTTTTCCTAGAGGCCCTTTCTCCCTCCTTCCTTCCCCCTATTAAGTTGGTATATAATCTCCTATTTCTAGTTGTCCAGGAGTCTCTTCATCTGCTCCTGCATGCATGTGTAAATAAACCTTGTCTTTTCCCCTGGTAATCTATTATCACTTCATTCACAGCCCCACCATCAACACTCAAACCTGTTAGTAGAGGGAAAGTTTTCCTCCCAATGAGGGTTGGAAAAAATCAGCAGATGTTTTTTCTACCTTCGATGGTGTGAAATGATTTGATTTGCATTTTAAAAAATCATTCTGGGGGGACTTCCCTGGTGGTCCAGTGGTAAAGAATCCACCTTACAATGCAGGGGACACAAGTTCAATACCTGGTCAGGGAACTAAGATCCCACATGCCACGGGGCAACTAAGCCCGCACACCACAACTACTGAGCTCGCGCACCTCAACTAGAGCCCACATGCCTGAAACTACAGAGCCTGAGTGCACTGGAGCCTGCGTGCCACAACTAGAGAGGAGAAAACACACACACCACAACTAGAGAGATGCACGCGCTGCAACGGAAGATCCCGCATGCCTCAGTGAAGATCCAGCGTGCCGCAACTAAGCCCCGACACAGCCAAAAATAAATAAATAAATAATAAATCTTAAAAAAAAATCACTCTGGGTATGTCATTGGTTTTATTAACAAGAGAAGTTGTAAGCTTGCTTGTAAAAGAAAGGAATTTAAGTTCATAGCTAGAGAGAAATATGATATCCCAGAAAAGTTTTTGTTCATATGAAATAATGCATATAAAGTTATTACCACTTTCATTGAAAATTAGCTCCCATTTCTGAAATTTCAAACATCTCACACTCTCCCCACCACCATCTCTCCTTTTAAATTCACTTACTAAGCGTGCCCTTGGCCTTAATTCTTTATCTGAATTCACACTTCAATCTAATGACACCACTTTTTTTTTTTAACCCTCCATTAGCTCCCTCCTAGTCTAGCAATACCCTAACAAGAGCCTAATACGTTCCCAGCCTTCCTTCTGAGAAGGCGTCAGCAGCAGCCCACATGTATATGTACCCACACCAGACTTCTCTCCATCTCACAGATATTGAAAATTAACACCTAAAGTCATTCTAGACATAAAAATCTCCCGAACTTTATCTTAAATACAACTGCTGGGGGTGGAAACCCTTAAACATTTCAGTCTCACCATTTGGCAGCGTCCAATGTTTCAACGTTTGACGAATGAATTAAGTTCCTTTGATTTGGAAGGCCTTGTCCAATGCCTGGGAGCTCAACAGAAAAAGAGGGAAACTAAGTGGAACGGATAAAGGAAAGGCCGAATCCCAGCACTCCAGCCGCCGTGCAGGTGTGGAAAGCAGAGGTCAAGGTCTCCAGTTAAGCCACAGCCCGCGGCTCCTTTTAAGGGGGAGTGGGCGGAGCCCTGACTTTAACCCCGCCCAGGACTGAGGGGACTCGCGGCCAATGAGAGGGCGGTCCGGGGTGGAGCGACCTGCGTGCGACGTGACGCCATCACGCTCCGGTCGGCGCTCCGCAGGGCGTGCGCCGGAACAGTGGACTCTGTAGGTGACCGCCGCCGGGCTTCGCGGTAGAAGTGGGGTGGATTTCGGAGACCGAAGCGCCGCGTCGTGGGAGCCCTCCAGGCGAGGCGAGTCGAGTCACCCGACCTCGGGGTTTTAGGGGCGAAGGGATCAATCACCCCCAACCTTCCTCAGGCTGGGCGGCATGGACTCACTATTAATTGATCCCGAAAGCAATGCCAAGTCAAGGTCTCCGGTGGAGAGGACACCACGGCCTCGCCGCGTCGGCCTTTCGTGCCCCAAGTAGCCAGGCTGTGAGCGTCTGGGGAGAGGCAGCCCAGCGGGGTGGAAAGCAGTAGGGACGCCAGTAAAGGCCAGTGTTTATTAGCGCTGTCGGGCACCTTACAGGTTAAACCTTCAAAGCACTCCTGTGAGTAAGCCCTGTTGTTATTCCCATTTTGCAGAGGGGGAAACTGAGGCTTAGAGAGGTTAAAATTACAGCTTTGTAAACAGTATAAAGATGGGAGGTTGAGTAGTTAAGAAAATAATGAAACGTTTAAGCAACTCTAAAGCGGTGATTCCAGAGGGCCAACAAAAGCTGTTTCTGAACTGGGGCAGTTCTAGTGACAAAATTCATTTGGTGAGTCACAACCATCAGAATATTGAACTTTGGAATTTGTTTACAGGTGACCAAAGCCACGCAATGTCAATAGCTCGTTCATCTGTCCATGCCAAATGGGTCGTGGGGAAGGTGATTGGGACAGCAATGCAAAAAACTGCTAAAGTGAGAGTGACCAGACTTGTTCTGGATCCCTATTTATTAAAGGTAAGGAACATCTCTATTTTCAGGTGGCATTGATAAATCACCAACATGTTCTGGGTTCTGAGCAGAAAAACACTCCCCTGTCAGTAAAGGTGCATTGAGCATCTGCTGCACACCAGACATTGTGCTGGTCTGTGGGTGTAACAAAGTGAGTTAATCATGGTTCACACTCACATTTTAGAGACACATAGAGTTGATTTCAATTCAGTCTGTTAACTGCTGTAGTCATTCTATGTGCAAAGTACTGTGGGAGCAGAAGACTCCTCGTTCTTCCTTCCCATGTTGCTGACGAGAGCATTCTTGATTATATAAGACATATGAGCTGAAGCTCCAAAAGGATTTTATCCAGAGGACCAGTTGGGGGCAGGAGGAGTTGGGGGAGTCATTCCATGATGAATAGTTTGTGGAAGTTCTTTTAGCCATGTATTTACCTAAAACAAATAGACTGCTAGTTATTTCGGCAGCAAAAATGGGTTTATTCGGGATCAGCAGAGAATTGCAATTCAGGGTCTGCAACATGATGAGCCACATGCGAGTCTCCCACAAAAGTGGTGCGGTGACCGGGGAGGAGAGTGCTTTTACAGAGGGGAAAGGAAGTTGGGAGGGGATGGTAAACAAAGAGTCCATGACTCTTGACTGGCTGAGTTGTTGCCGGGAAAGAAGAGCATGTCTTTCTTCCTGTTGAGCTCTGCTATCATCACAGGGTGTGAGAGCTTCCCCTTCTGGTCTCCTGACTCTGTTTAATTGAGGTTTCTGTTTATTAATTCCTTACACATGAAAGGGCATGACATTCTAACTGGAGCAGCAAGTGGTTCGGCAATGTTGAGCCCAGAGCTTGGCACTAAGTAGATGCTGTTGTTGAATGAACACGAGAAGGATTAGAGCTGGAGTATGAAGGGTCTTTTATGTTGTGTTTTGGATTTCATCCTATAAGCAAAGGAGACAGAGATAGGGATGAGGAGTGGAGGTAAGGAAATGGGTAAGGAGGTTATTGCAGATGTCTAGGATGGAAATAGTAAAGAACTGAACAGTCCTGGGAGCAGTGAGGATGGAGTGGAAAAAGATTTCAGGAAAGAAGGGACAGCGTCCTTGATTTGGTAGATGTGCAAGGGAGGGAGGGGGAAATGCCAAGGATGTTTCTGCATTCAAGGTTGGGCACACTGGTGGGCACAAATGCTGTTTGTTATCTAGGATCAAAAACATAGGAGCCTTTTCAGGGTCTTGTGATGCTGGGGAGATCCCAGCCGGGAGAAGGACGTTGGATCTCATTGTCCTCCTAGCCCTTCGACTCTCCCTCGAAGCCTCTCAATGAAATGGCTTGATCCCAAAGCAAAAACAAAAACAAAACCACAGGAGCAAGTTGAAGAGTGATGGCATGATCATTGGCCTTAGAATCAGAGGGCCTTAGTTTGAGTACTGGCTGTTGGTTACTAGCCATGCACATTACTTCACCTCCTTGAGCTTGTTTTTCTCATCTGTTAAATGGGACTACATGCTGTGGCAGGGTTGTCTTGAGGAATAGGTGATTCTAGTTCTCATCTGTGGCTTGTTTGCAATACTTTGAGTGAGGCATGAAGCTAAGTGCTTTATGAACATTATAATGTTTCATTCTCTTGATAACTTTAGAGGCGCAGGCATTGGAGCCTCATTTTATGGTGGGGAAAAAAAACCTGAGCTTGGAGTAGTTAAGTGACTTGTCCCAAATCACACAGCTAGTGGTGAGATAGTGTGTTTTTAGGCTGGAGAGAAGGCTTTACTGGGAAGGAAGAATTTAAATATTGTAGAAGAGGATGATAATTGATAGAGCAAGGGTACTGCAGGAAATAAGCAGGAGAGCTCCAGACAAGATCAGTTCTGGAAAAGTCATTGCCGTTTTCCAGAAATTAAGCAGCTAATTTTTGTATTGGAAGTCTCCATAAGTATGTTATCTATTTTTTCCCCCAAGTTCCAGCTTGTTTTCTGCGCATTCCTTTTTCAGATTTTGTACTGCATTGCCAGGTCATAGATGGGAACTACTGATTTGTTTCCTCCTTCTCTCAACAGTATTTTAATAAGCGAAAAACCTACTTTGCCCACGATGCTCTCCAGCAGTGCACCGTTGGAGATATTGTGCTTCTCAAAGCTCTACCTGTCCCGAAAACAAAGCACGTGAAGCATGAACTGGCTGAGATAATTTTCAAAGTTGGACAAGTCATAGATCCAGTGACCGGAAAGCGCTGTGCAGGAACCACCTACCTGGAGAGTCCAGTCAGTCTGGAAACCACCCACCTAAGCAAAAACCTGGAAGAACTTGATCTCTCTTCAACACAGTGAAGGAGGATTGGAAAACGGAGCCAAAAGGGAAGGATTTCTAAGTTTGCTTTATGGAAAAATTTTTATAAGTTTCCTCACAAACCGTCCAGTTTCTCTTCTGGTATTTATGAACTAGCTAAAAGTAAATAAAGTAAAGGCCTTGTTATAATTTTTCATAAAGTTTTACAGTCATGTTTCAAATTTCCTTCTCAGCGAACATACTTTCCTTTTACACTAAGTGTGCCTAGCAGTGCGCTGCATTGTTTTGTAAGCTCACTGTTTTAGAAGGTGGTATTTGTTTTTGTTTTCATTCAAAGGAATCTGGAATTTATCTTAGAACTTTTATTTTGGGAGAAGAAAACCTTTTGGTATCATAAACAGATAAGACCACATTAAGTGTATATTTATTTTTGATACTATATATTCGAAACTAAGTTTTTCTCTGATTTAACCAATTCCAAATGGAAACAGTTAACATGCTGGGGTCAGATTTTATCAGACTAAAGTCTGTATTAATAAGCATGTTGACACGCAGAAAATAAAACTAAAATTCTGTCACTTTTCTCCTGTATCCTAGGCTAGATTAAATAGGAATGAGTTCTTAAAATCTGATACATTGATGAAGTTGTAGAATTTCTCACACATGCATTTGAGTTGGAGAGTTTCAGAGTTTTATTGCTGTTCATTGATAAACTGTGATACCTTAGATTTTGACCTGATGAAACACTGAGCTATATATTTCAGTTTTCTGGCTCCCGGAAGGGACTTGGAGTATATTTCAACCTCAACAAATATGTCGGTATTTGAGTAATAACCACAGGCACTGCCCCCTCCTCAGGGCTTATAATCTCCTGGGCAGGTATGCACAAATATCTTCATGACAAACACAGAAACACATGGGTGGGGGAGAAATTGGGGTAACTTTCCAGAAAAAAATGAGAGAATGCTAGAACTGAATCTTAAAGGAAGAGTCTCCAGTTTAGTGCATGAGGCATTTGGAAAGGGCATTCCAGGCAGAGGAAGGGGGTGTAAAGTCCTCGAAGTATGAGAGAAAGGACTGTAACCAAGGGGTTTTGGAAGCGGTGAGCACTGCTGGGACATTGAACAAGAGTGGAACTCAAGTAGAGAAATAGGCAGGAATTGTAAGTGGTGGTGGGTTGTTTAATGTTTTAAAGAGTGATATAACTAGATTCACATTTCTGTAAAGTAATAGCATCTGTGTCAGGAATAGACTGGAATGGGAAGGATTGGAGGTAGGGAGACAGTGACCTTTTCAAAGATTGGTCCTAAGACATAAACTGAGTTGGGCAGGGAAGATGAAAAGAAGATAGATGATGTTCCGAAGTAGAACTCTCAGGGAGGATGAACCGAAGGGAGGCATCTTAGACTGTCTGCCAAGGGGGTGGCTATGCAGTACTGGTTATCCTGGAGGGGAGAGGACACCTGCCCAAGCTATCTCTAAAAGCTCAAATATTTTAAAGGCTTACCTATACTCTAAGGTATCATTTTTATCTTAACATAGATACTTTTCCTGAAAATCTTGGTGTAAAAATTATCCTCCAGGAAGACGCCCCATGTTTATCCTATGACATTGTAACCTAAGCCACACACCTGTGAAATAAGAGTATCTCCTTCCCCCCAGTAAAAAGCACTGGGTTAATGGAACTTCAGAGCAAAATGATAGTGGAGAAAAAAGTGCAGAATGAGTGGCCTAATACTAAACATAAAAGCCAGGTCAGCAAAGAAATGCCTTCCAAGTTAACATTTCAGGAAAATAGACTTGAAAGCATTTGTCTCCTGAAATAGAGCTGAGAAGTTGGGGAATATGTAAGAAAGTCACACCGACACCACTGGCTTGAAGAGGCCCTGCCTCCCACAGTGCAGGATGGCAGACATGTCCTTTCTGCCCTGGTGAGAACTCCAGCCTCCCTTTTGCATCTCTGCAGCCTCTATGGCCTCACAAAGCGTAAGCCAGTTGAGATCAGGAGCTGGCCTGATCAACAGCCTCTGGCCTCCTGTCCCTGTGTGCCTGGCCTCCTTTCCACCAGATGCCTCTCCCTGGTCTGGGGCAGATCCTTGTTTCCCTTCCTCCATCCACAGGATCCACTTCTGTTCTCCCTGGTGGCTCCTTGCCATATTAACATGTTCAAACATTGCCCCAGTCAGAGAAACTCCTGCACCCCTGGAGCCCCCTCCCCCTTCCTTCGCCTCCAAAGATTACCAGCTTCAGAGAACCCCTCAGTCCGCAAGCCCAGTTCCTGCCCCCAGCCCTCCTAGCAGAGACCTCCCAGCTCCCCGGTCCAGAGTGTTGTGGTCTGAACGCGGGTTGGAAAAGAATTTCCAGACACGAGCAGAATGTAAAGAAGACAATTTATTAGAGGGAAGCGTTGCTGCCAGAACAGTGGGCCGACTTCCTAGTAGTCTGGGAGAGCTGAGCAGGAACATGTGCTATTGATCAGTTTTTATAGCAAAAGAAAAAGGACTGGTCCGAGGTGAAAATTTCGTTTACCGATTGGTCGGGGCACATATACCTTCCTTCTCTAGGGTGGGAGTGGGACAGGCCAGATGCCTTTCCTTATTTGGGACAGGTCCTGTTGCCCAGGTGGGTGTCGCCCAGGTGGGCTCAGGAATTTTGTAACCATCGCAAAATGGTGGGGAGGGCGAGTAAGAGTCCGGTAAGGGGTGCTAAGGGGTGTAACGCTGATACTTTTTCAGGCAGGGTCGTACTTTGCCCTTGAAGCACCTTTGTCCTTGGAGCACCACACAGGATTCGCACTGGCCTTGAAAAGCTCCCTTTGGTGGCTGGGGAGCTCCTCCCTGTTTCTCTCCCTTTTCTAACTGTCCAGCTCACTTTCTGCGGGCCTTGTCTTGGTTGCGGTTTCATGAGTACATTTGTGGCTCTTTTATCTTGCCACAGGATACATTTCCCCCCAACAGTGCCATCCTGACCCACGCCCTTCTTTAGGCTGTTTGCTTGGCCAGGCGGAGTTGTCCTCCCTCCTTCCACGAGTCAACTCTTTCCCTTGGGACTGCGCTATTGTGCCAGCTCCCCAGGCTCTATCCTCCACTTCCCAGGCACCACCGGTTACATGCTCTCCCGTCCGTGTTCCCTCCCTTCTCTCCATTTCAACACTTGACACTCCAGTCATTTCACATCCAGCCCCACCAGACTGGGACGGCTCGAGGGCGAGGATGGGGCCCAGCCCACCGGTGCTGAAATCAACGGGAACAATGGGGTCTGGAGACCACGAGAGAACCTGAGTGTGCGTCCATCCAGAATGCTTCTATTACAGCGTAATAGGCAATATATTTACACGGAGCAAAATCCAAAAGGGTATTCGGGGAGAAGCCCGCCCCCCCCAGCTTCGCCCCCCAGCTTCGCCCCCCAGCTCCTGGATTCCCCTAGGAACCGTGTTACTCTCCCCTTGTGGATCTCTCCACGTGGGTTCAAGCCTTGCCCTTGTTCCTTTGGCGCACCCTGTGTTACGCACCGAGCTCCTTTCGCTGGAGCTTAAAGTCTCAAAATAGGTTTTTCTCCGGTTTCCCTTTCTCGCGGCTCGCAGCTGCGGGACCTCAGCGCCGGCACGCACTGCGGACGCGACCGCCGTGGGCCCCGCTCCCCCTGGCGCCCGCGCCCCGCACTGCAGCGGTATCGCGCCCGCCCCGCCCTGCCCCGCCCCCGCCTCGGCTGGCCCGGCCGGGGGAGGGGTCGCGGCGGCGGCGGCGGCGTCAGCGGCGGCCCGGGCGGTGGGAGCCGAGGCGCCGGAGCAAGATGGCGGCGCGAGTACTGCGCGCCGGCGGAGCGGCCTCGGCTGGCAGCTTTCTGCGGCGGGCCGGCCCCTGCAGCCTCCAGCCCGAGCTCTGGTGAGCAGCGCCGCCCTTTCCGGGAGCGGCCGGGGAGGGGCCGCCGCGGGGCGGAGGGCACGGGTCCCCGGCACGAGTCTACGCCCCGGCCCGGTCGCGCTCCCACTGGGCAGGGCCTCCCGGACTGCGGGGCGGCGGGACCGAGGCCTCCGTCGGCGTGGCTGGGCGAGTCAGAGCCTCGGCGAGGTCGGAGTGCCTGCCTGCCGGGCCGGCCGGGCTCAAGGTCACGGTGGGAACGACGCTCGGCGCCGAAGCCACGTCCGCGCGCCGAGCCTGCCCGGCCTGCGGGACCCTGACCCGGCGCGACCCGGAGCAGTGGCAGGGCGGCGGGCGCATGCCTGAGGCCGCAGGCCCTGAAGTTGCGGCCGCCTGAGAACACTGCTCGCCCGCGCAAAGCCTCAGTGCTTAATTCCGCAAATGGCAGTAGAGATAATCCTCACCTCCTGGGTTGTTGTGAGGAAGAAATAAAATACCGCATCGTCCCCGGTGAGCCCTCAAGTGGAGGTCGGGGAAGTAGTGAAGAGGTGTCAGCCCTAAGAACAGTCGTTGACTTGCATTTAAAAGTAGATAGCGAATCAAAAAGTATGTACAGTTATCAGCACTAAGGGGACGTTGGCTTCGTGTTTAAACTCTTTTTCTAACCTCATTGGATTAAATATTTGGTCAGAATCCATCCCTGAGATAGCCATGTCCCATTTTCCAAATCGAAAAACCAAATCCCATACTAACTTACACATCGATTTGCTTCTTCGGTTTCTTTACGTTGGGTAACTTAAATTTCCTCTTTTTGTTTGTGTTTAATTAAATAGTGAGCCTATAGAAAATACAGTTGGCACTTAAAAATGGAAGCGGGAGGGAGCTACCTGTTAAACTCCTAATACGGGCCAGCTTTATACTGATACGGCTTATTTAATGTAATCCTAGTAGCACTCTTAAGAAGTAATAGGATGTGCAGTTTAGAGATGAGAAAGAACCTAAAGGGCTTGAGACACGTGGCTGGAAAAGGCATTTGAACCCAAGTTTGTGAGGCTTGAGGCCCAGGGCCCTTCCTAGGACTCATGCTCAACTTGTGTTTCAAAATATGATATTTATGTTTCCAAGTTGGTTAACAAATCACCCTCCGTTTATTTTTATTCTGTTATTAAGTATCTACTGTTGCTTTATTTTTTCACACAGATGATAAAAGCCCATGAAATTGATATTTTCTTTTTTTCACAAAAGACAGCTGAGACTGAAGGTGTTCCCCTAAAGTGCCCAAGGTCACTTGAAGCTAATAAACTGGAGATTTGGACCCGGGTGTGCCCGGTACCCCCACT